CTTTGGCAGTAACAATACACAATGTACTAACCATTGTTACTCTCCTAAAGTCTTGTTTTGAGATTTTTGTACCATTGTTTTTATTTTTTTTTAAATAAAAATAACTGATGTTAAAGTGTGGGAAAGGTTTTTAAGAGTGTGGGGTTTATAAAGCTTTAAAATGTATGTAAATATTAAAATAAGTATAATGCTGCTACTTCGTTGATTTTCACGTATATCTGTTCTGTCTGGAACGTAACCTCCATGACAAGTGAGGGACCACTGTATAATCTTGACCACTTGCTGCATTTTGTTTGCTAATATTCTATTAAGGATGTCTTAGTTACTCTTCTCTCATTGCTGGGACAAATACCCGACACTCAAAATGAAGGAAGGAAGGAAATAATCACACCAAGGATTATTTAGCTCTGCAGGTTTCAGTCCATATTCAGCTGGGTCCAAGGCAGAGCGGCACAAGGCAGAGAGCAACCTTTCATGGCAGCAGCAAAGAGCAGGAGCCAAAATGAGGAGTACCAGCAGCTCAGGCGGCTAGCGTCTCTTCCTGCCTTACATTGTAATGCAAATTACCTGCCCCAGGGTGGGTGCACCATCCACACCCACAGTAATCACTCACAAACTCCATAAGCTGCCCCAAGACTGCATGAGGCTTTAGGGGGACAAGATACACAAACCATAACAAAGGTTTTTTGCATCTGTGTTCATTAGGGAGATTGGCCTGTAATTCTTTTTTAGTTGGATCCTTCTCAGGTTTAGTATCAGAGTAATACTTGTCTCCAGGAATTAGTTTGGAAGAATTGCTTTCCTTTCAGTTTCATTGAAGAGTTTGAGAAGAGTTGGCATTAAATCTTTAAATTGCTTGTAGAATTCAGTTGTGAGTCCATGAGGACCTGGACTTTTTTTTGTTGGTAGATTTTTTTTTATTACATTTGCAATTTCATTAACTGATATTGTGTTATCCAGAATTTTTATATGTTCTTGATTCAGCTTTGATAGTTGGTACGTATCTAGGAGTTTGTCCATTTCCTCTGTGTTTTCCATCCTGTGAAAGTAAAGATTTGGGAAACAGGTATTGATGATCTTCTGAATTTCTATAGGGTCTGTAGTGATTTTGCCCTTTTCATTCCTGGTGCATGAATTTGAATTTTTTCTTTCATTTTTTGAATAAAGTTGGCTAGGAGTTTATCAATTTTATTTGTTATTTCAAAGAACCAACTCTTTGACTCATTAATTCTTTGTATTGTGTTCTTAGTCTCCATTGCCTTCACTTCTGCTCTGATCTTTGTAATTTCCTGCCTTCTTTGGGCTTTGGGTTTGACTTCTTCTTCTAGGAGCCTGAGGTCCAGCATAAGACTATTTATTTGGGCTCATTCTGTTTCCTTAATGTGAGTATTTACTGCTCTCAAATTCCCTCTTATAACAGCTTTCATTGCATCACACGGGTTCTGTCAGGTTGTGTCTGTATTTCTGTTTGATTGTAAATATTTTTTAATTTCTTCTTTAATCTCATATGTGACCCACTGATTGTTCAATAGGGTGTTACTTAGTTTCAATGTCCTTATGGAGTTTTTGCAGTTTCTTTTGTCAATAATTTCCAGTTTCACTGCACTATGGTCAGATAATATGCATGGGATCATTTCAGTTCTTTGCATTTATTTAACTATGTGCCATGTGCTAATATGTGGCATATTTTGGAGAACATCCCATGTGCAAGTGAACCTCAGCAATCCTTAAAACTACCCACCTTTTAATGTGCCATTTAACTTGATATACTTTTTCTACAATTATTAATGAGGTTTTTTAAATTTTTTGTAAAAGTATAAATAAAGGCTCTTACTATTGTTCAGGGGTCATCTAGACAACCAGGCAGCTCAGCCACACCCTGACCCAGCCCCTGTCTCCTTGTCTATCTCTTACTCATTCCTGCTGCTGTTTCTCCCCAGGGTACACCTGGGGATCACACCAAGAGATGAACAGATCCCTACAATACATTGCTAGGTATTTATTTTAAAGATAAATACATAAATCCAAGCAAAGGCTTGTACATAAATGCTCATGATTGCTTTTTTAAGGTACCGGGTGTCAAACCTAGGGGCACTTTATTACTGAGCTACATTCCCCAACTTTAAAAAATTTTGAGCCAGAGTCTTAGTTGTCCAGGCTACCCTTGAACTTGCAACCCTCCTGCATCAGCCTTCTGAAGAACTGAGATGATAGGCTAGAGTTGCACCACTGTGCCCAGTTCATCATTTTTCTTGGAAACAACCCAAACATCTATCAATGTATAAGCAACTGTGGTCCAAATGCACAACCAAGCACTACTCAGCATTCTAAAAGAAGGAATTATTGATACTGAAATATGAATGAATTGTAAAATAATTCCACCAACTGAAAGAAGAGATTTAAAAAGTCAGACACTGTGCCAACCATGTCCAGAAAATCTGAGTCAAGGGCCAGTCAGATAGCTCAGCGGACTAAAGCGTCTGCTTTAAAGCACAGGGACCGGACTTCAATCCCTGGCACCACATGCCATGCCAGCCCCATCTCCGGGGCACGCTGAGACAGTGACTGAGACTGGCTGTAGTGGCGTGTGCCTGTAATCCCAGCACTTGGGAGGCTAAAAACAGGAGACTCACTGGGAGTCCAATCTGTGCATTGAGACCCTATAGATCCTATACCAAATATATTTTTAAAAACAAAGAAAATATGAGTCAACCTAATAACATAAAGATTAGTGGCTGTCAGGGAAGAGAGCAGGGACATGGGGACAGGATGGAGAGACACAGTCAAAACAGCAGTGGGCACTTTTCTGACTGAAGGAACAGCTCCTTCAGTATGGATGGATACATACAGTTGCCCCTCTGAAACCAAAGGAGATGGGCTAAGGGCCTGGGATCCAGAATAAATCTCTCCAGGGAGCCAAGTCCCTGATCATAAATTAAGGCAGTACTTGCCTCCAGCCTACACACCTCCTCCCAAATCCTTTGAGTCCCTTCTAGATTTCCTGTAACATCTAACACAATGGAAGCACAATGCACATAGTGGGTAGATTGTATTGTTTAGGGAATAATGACAAGAGTCTGTCCTTGCTCAGTAAAGATACAATGTTTAAGGGCCAGCAAGATAGCTCAGTGGACTAAGCACTGACTTAGGCAAGCACAGGGGCTGGGGTTTGATCCTTGGCACCACATGCTGCCCTGGGTCTGCTGATCGGGTGACCAAGTCTGGACATGGTGACACGTGCCTGTAATCCCAGTGCTAGGGAGGCTGAAAACAGGAGGATCACTATGAGTCCAAGCTGCATAGTGAGACCCTATACCAAATACATAAATGAAAATAATAATAAAATAAAATAATAAATAAATTACATCTATTCTATTTAGTCCACTACCACACTCACTAAAATGTTAGTAGCCATGAGGAAGAAGTGTCCTTGTTTTTCTCACTGACACAGCCCCAAATCTCAAAGGAATGACTGGCACATGGCAGGTGTTTGATATTTGCTGAAAGAATGCATGAACAGGGGCTGAAGAGATGGCTCAGTGGTCTAAAGCACCTACTTGAAACAAGCTTGGCAAAGCACAGGGACCCCGGTTCGATCCCCAGCACCACATGCCAGCCAGACCCGCCCCCTGGTGGGCTGAGCTGGCCACACACATACACAATAAATAAATGTAATAAATAAAAATAAATAAATATTAAAAAAAAAGAATGCATGAACATTCAGTGTGTTTGTTTGGTTTTTGAGATAGGGTCTCATTTTGCTGCCCAGGCTGGCCTCAAACTCCTGGGCTCTAATGACTCTCCTGCCTCAGCCTCCTGACTAGCAGGAACTAAGATGTGCATGTGCCTCAGAAGGTGCTAGGTTTGATGCCCACAATCTTGTTTCTTTATTACACTGTCCCTTGGAGGAAGACCCCACCATGGATCCCCTCTCTACATATGGAAGAAAGCTCAGGCTTCTAGAAATCGTACACACCCATCTACCCACCATCCAGTAGTGGAATCCAGTGGCTCAGTTAGCCACCTCAACCATTGCCTGTTTCCCTTCTGACCAACAAGGACTGAGTTCAGGTCCCACCAAACACTGTTTCTGGAAGGCATCTGTGGAGAAATTGAAAAAGGCCGCTGGACTGGCTGGGGAGGCTGCACCTGAGGGACTCTCTCAGGATCCAGCAGGGTCCTGAGTAACTTGGCTTGTGTGGTAGATTAACTAATGGTCAATTTGTAATACCCAGCTGAACTGAATCAGCTCAGCTCTGGTTGTGGAAGGCCCACCTAAGCATTAATGCCCGCAGCATAAAAGGAGAGCTGGAGGCCAGGGGTAGCGAGAATGCCGCACCTCCAGCCGTGTCCGGCCCAGCAAGGGTCCAGCTCAGTGATTGGTCAGTGAATGGGTTCCTGCCAGGCATGAGGAAAGCCAAGGAAATGGGAAGGAAGAGGGTGGAGCCAGGGTGGGCCGGGGAGCTAAAGACAGACCTCTGCCCAGGCCGGACGCCTGCGGCACCATGGACACAGTCACATTCAGCCAGTGGGACAGCAGTCTCGTGGCAGTCCCCACAGGTATGCGCTGGGGACTGCCTCCTTGAGCCCTTGGGTCCCTCTGCCCAAGTATCTGGGGTCTGAAACAGAGGGGCACCCAGGAAATGGGTGCAGGAGAAGCACCAGAGTATTGGAGCCCTGTAGGCTGGGTGCACAACATGCCCGCCGCTTGAAGGCTGTGTGATGGTAGGCCAGTTACTTAGTGGCCCTACACCTCAGCCCAAGACTCAGGCCACTGGTCCACCTGTGTTCTAGGGCACTGGGGGCGCAGGGTTTTCTTCCTGGCCCTTGCCGTCCTAGTGGTCACCGTGCTGTGGGTTCTTATTCTGAGCATCCTCATGTCCAAAGGTGAGTGACCCCCTTTCGTGGGGAGAGGTGTGCTTGTGTCCCGAGGGCTTGCAAGCACCTCCTGTGTGCATCCCTCGGCGAGGGGAGGGTTCCCTGGCCTGCCTGCGTGACCTTCTCCCCGCAGCCTCGACAGAGTCCCGGGTGCTGACTGGCCACCAGGACCTGCTGAGGACAAACGGTGAGAGCAGAAGGGACCGGTATGCCGGGGTATGCGGGGATGGAGCGCCCGCGATGCACACAGGACCACGAATGAGTCCCGGAGTAGGGCCCGGGCTGGGGAAGGTGTCCCCTGAGTCCCCTTAGGTGACCAGCTGTGCGCTACACGTGGGGATTGTTATTCCAGCTTCGGAGCAGACGGTGGCCCTGGGTGCCTTGAAGGGAGAAGTCGGAGCCTACGAGAACTGCTGTGAGACTTCAGCCAGGGCAGTGGGAGTAGGGGACTCGGCAAGTGGGCTGAGGAAGTCTGCTGGTGCAGGGTCCCCCATCTCACCAACGCTTCCTTTTTATATTCGCCCGTGTTTACAGCACGTAATGATTACATGCCCGGGGGAGGGGGTGTGTGCTCGGACACAACATACCGTTCCGTTTCCATCTCCTTTCCCCGTCCCCATCCCCTGGCCCCTTCTCAAACTGCAAAAGATCTGTCTCCCTGGTTCCCATTCCCAACCTTTATTTTACTATTTAAATGATCCCTTGGGTTTCTGCCATAAGACCGGATAAATCTGAGTCACGTCTAGGAAGACGGACGCACCTTGAGACCGCGATGCTAAGTGACGTAAACCTCCGACCCCTTCTTAGGCAACGCGACGCAGGCAGAGCTGCAGGCGGCCCTGGCGGAGCTGCGGGAGGCGCAGGTGAATCTGATGCAGCAGAAAAGCGCTCTGGAAGAGCTGAGTCTGCGCGGTGAGGACCGGACGTGGCCCTGATACCTTGGCTGTGGTCACAGTCGTGACTCCGGTTCTGCCCTGTGATCCCTAAGGTTCCTGACCTCCGCCCTCTTCCACAACTCCTGCTCGCAGCCCACACAACTGTCCTGACCTTGACCTCCTACTGGAGCCCTGACCTCAGAGGAGAGCTAACCCGGGGCCTAGATTTTTAGCCCTACAGAGTTGTGACTCTGTTCCTGATCCTCACTCTAGCTAAAGTGTCCAATGCTCTGACTCTGCAGTGACCCAGGACTTGGCTACAGCGAGCAGGGACCGCGAGAACATCCGCAATGAGCTGTTCCGGGCGCTGGAGGCCGCCAAGCTCGAGAATAGTGAGCAAGAGGCAGAGGGAGGGATGCGTGGCCCCTGCCTGGGGATGGCCTCGATGATCCCCCACCCCTCCGGCCCCGCCCTTCGGCCTGGGCCTGGTTCTAGTTCTGGCCCCACCCCTGGAGGGGTGGTTCCAACCGTCCCTTTCTCCATTTGCTCAGCTCTCTGATCCTCGCCTCCGCAGGCTCCTGCGAGCAGTGTCCCGCGTCGTGGCTGCCCTTCCGGGGCTTCTGTTACTACTTCTCAGAGGCCCAAGCTTCATGGTCGGAGGCTCAGCAAAACTGCGCGGGCAACGCTGCGCACCTGGTGATCATCGGCGACCTAGATGAGCAGGTGGGCCCTGCTGGGGCAAAGCAGAGAGCAGCAGGGCTCACCCGCCCAGGCGCGGCCCGGGTGCGCGGGCTCACTCCGCTCTCCATTGCATTCAGAGCTTCCTTATTCGCCACACGCGAGGCCGCGGCTACTGGCTGGGCCTGAGGGCTGTGCGCAGGGCAGGCCGGATCCAGGGCTATCAGTGGGTGGACGGAGTCCAGATCAGCTTCAGGTGAGGAAGAGGCTTCTGGGGAGACCATAATGTTAAATGCAATAAATCACACACTTAAATAGCACATGGCTTCCTGTATATGAGAAACCCAAAATATAAATAGTAAAATAAAAGATAAATAATTGGATGTAGGGAGATCAGTCTTTCTCAAATGGGAAGGGGATCAAGAGAAAGAGGAAGGGAGAGAGGAAGGATGAAAATCGGAATTAAGGTGTGTTCTGTACCTGCACTAACTCCCCCCAGGGAAAGTAAACATAACTACTGCACATGTTGCCTGAAAAAGGTCTGTATTCCCCAGGTGCGTGTTCATTTTAGACCTCCGGGTGTCGAAACAATCAACAGGCTAGGCCCTAGGGAGGAAGGCTGGATCCCAAGTCCACCTCAGCCCAGACACCCAGCAACGCCCTCTTGCTATCGTCACAGCCACTGGAACACAGGAGAGCCCAACGACTCCTGGGGACGAGAGGACTGCGTCATGATGCTTCACTCCGGGCTGTGGAACGATGCGCCCTGTGGTAGCGAGCGAGACGGTTGGATCTGCGAAAAAAGACGCAGCTGCTGAGAGGACCCTGCTCACCACCTCCCCACACCCACCGCCTCGCCACGCCCACCGCGGATAGTGCCTCAGAAGCTGCGCATGCTCCTAGAATGCACACCAAGATTTTTCCCTCTCACTACTGAGAACCCCCTCGGTGTAACCCAGCCCTGCTTAGGGCCTGGGACCAGAGGCCTCTGCTCCAACCTGACTGATAGCCCCTATATTCTGACTTGACTTCTACCAGCTCCAAAATCCTTGCTCCTGCACCTGTGTCATCCAACCGCACCTCTTTGTAGCCTCAGTCAGGAAACTGGTGGATGGAGCTATTTGTTTCCTGGATTTCTGAGGCATCAATAAATGTTTGAGAAATTGATATAAACTCCTGTGTCTGCAGAGGTGCTCTAGTACCTGGAAGTGATTCCCGACTCTGTAGATAACCTTGTGGTCCCATCATGCCCCCTGCCCAGACCCGCTAAGCCAGAGGATCTCAAGACAGGAGCACTTGCCCACTTTGCACAATTTCCTAGCAGCCCCTAGAACATGACTTAGTCCAAGTGGGCTGGGGACACAGGAATTGGCCATACCCGATGCTTGCCCTGGGACTTTTTATTACAAAGCCATATGGAGAAGATGGGCAAGAAGAATGTAGCTGGGCAGAAGATTCTGGCCAGTGGCTTAGTGGAGGAATTCATGAGGGAGTGACACACAGGCATTTGTGGGAGCCACACTGTAGTGAGATTCTGAGGCACTGGCCCTGTGCCTTAAGTCTGTCACCTGCTACAGCGAGGACAGGCGACCCAGACAAGACCCTGGAGTTCCCTGATCTATAGGGCGTTCTCTTTAGCCCACTGCACCTACTTCCTGTGACCACAAAGTGGGACAACCAGGAAAGCATCTCAGGACAGATGTGGCTGACCTTCTATATGGGTGTAGGTTTCACAGAGCCTGGCTCCAACAACTGGGACTTTTGATCTGAATTCACCCTGCACTCCCAAAGATTCCTGCTTGCATCCTGGGGTTTCTCTGAGAATTTCCAAGGGAGACAAGTCCAACTGAGGAGAGTGACAGGCCAGCAGATTGTAGTTCCAGAATGAAGGGCTGCTTGGAGCCCCCAGGCTACTTGGCTAGGACAGCACAAAGCAGGAAGAAGGGACAACACCATGTGAGACATTGAACAGGTCTATCATCCCTTAAAACCGCACATGCTTGTAGTCAATCCCAACCCCATCCCTGCCCTGGACCATCATGAATTGCTTCCAGTTGGACTTGCCTTTTGCAAAGTTCCATGCACATGCAGTTTTACAGGACATAGTCTTTCACCTCTGGGTACTTTCAGCATTACATGCGTGGTGTGAATCGGCAATCTACTTTTTATTACAAAGTCATATTCCATCGTGTGGCCATACACAATTCACTTCTCAGCTCACCTAATCTGAGTCACTTTCCTGCCATGAGGCCCAACACCCATGATTTGACAGAGAGCTTCACTTTTAGCTTGCATTTCAGTCTGATCCAAGGTAGAAAGAGGGCGGCAGAGGGGCCTAGAGGAAGAAAACTGCTCATGCCATGGCAGCCAGGAAGCAGAAGGAGAAGGGAGAAGCTGGGGACAAGAATACACCCTCTAGCCAGGGATGCAGCTCAGCAGCATGGTGCCTACGTGGCACGCTTGAGGTCAGGATTTTACCCCCCACCCTCAAAAAATGAATACAGCTTCCAGGTCACATTCCCTATGACCACTTCTTAGCGGGCCCCACCTCCTTATAAGTCAGCTATTGCACCCCCATGATCCTTCCAGATATTTGAGGGACATTGTACTTCTAAACCATCAGACCTGTTGGTGACATTTGGGCTGTTTCCAATCTGAGCTATTACTAGTGGAGCACTGATGCAAATCGGTGTGATGCCTTAGTCTGTTTTGCGTTGCAGTAACAAAGGACTTGCAACTCAGTAATTTAGAGAACAGAAGTTGAGTTTGCTCACAGTTCTGGAGTCTGGGAAGCCCAACTGAGGAGAGTGACAGGCCAGCAGATTGTAGTTCCAGAATGAAGGGCTGCTTGGAGCCCCCAGGCTACTTGGCTAGGACAGCACAAAGCAGGAAGAAGGGACAACACCATGTGAGACATTGAACAGGTCTATCGTCCCTTAAAACCGCACATGCTTGCAGTCAATCCCAACCCCATCCCTGCCCTGGACCATCATGAATTGCTTCCAGTTGGACTTGCCTTTTGCAAAGTTCCATGCACGTGCAGTTTTATAGGACATAGTCTTTCATCTCTGGGTACTTTCAGCATTACATGTGTGGTGTGAATTTAAATTTAAAAAAAAAAAATTTCTGAAGCACAATGCCTGAGGCTAAATCTTTCATTAGGAGGTTTATTTAGCATATGGATTTGGAGGCTCAAAATCCAAACATGTCACTGACTCTTCTAAGACCTCTGGACTGCACTGCATCATGGTGGGGGGCTTTGGGGTAGAAGAATGTACAAGAGGAAGGGATCATGGGGGGACATGAAGTCAGAAAAAGTAGGGAGAAGCTGTTCTTGTTCTTTTATAACAACCATCTTATGTGAACTAGGACCTACCCGGGAATTCATGAGAATCACCTTACTCTCTTTCACGGGCAGCACCCCCAGTCTCCTCCCCTCGCAAAGTGCCAGCATCTCTCACCATCTCCACGCCAAGGACCACGCAGATCAAGAAGACTGGCCAGCCAGGAGCGAGGATGGAGAGAAAATCTCTCATAGCAAGGGGCAGTTTTATGTGAGGAAGGATCTTCAGTGCCATGACAATTAGGTCCCAAAATTCTTTAGCCTTGGTAAAGCACGAGGCATGGGCCGGCCAAATAGCTCAGCAGATTAAAGCACCTGCAAGCAGGCACAGGGGCCGGGGGTTCGATCCCTGAGCCTGCTGTGCCAGCCCTGCCCCCCGGGGAGCACTGAGATGGCAATTGAGACTGGGCGTGGTGGCTCATGCCTGTAATCCCAGCTCTTGGGAAGCTGTAAACAGGAGGATCACTATGAGTCTGATCTAAGATAGAAAAAACAAAACACGGGGCATGAGACCAAAGTAATTTAGATCCTTTGCACCTAGCAAGGCAGTTTCTGTAGATTCCCTAATGCCGTGATGATAAGAATAACCCCACTGGAACCATTTCCTGTTGATGACTCTTCTTACCTGAAGAGTTTATCACAAGTGGCTGAAGACCAGTCAGCATCTGGTGCTGTTCTGGCTTGCTGGGTATGCTATGCCTTCTTTCTTGCTCTTGGCTTGGTTTGTTTTTGTTTGGCTTGGTTTAGCTTGGTTTGGTCTGCTTGGCCTGGCTGGACTGGGCTGGGCTGCCTGCTGGGTGTGGAGCTCAGTGCCTCATGTATGCTAGGCAAGAGCTGTACAACTGAGTGACATCTGAAACCCTTCTTCCATGATAATCCATAAAAACCCAATCCCCTGGGACACCACGTTGGAAGCAGTAATCGTGTTGGCCCACTTCCAATTGATGTGAACAGACGCCTGAGGAAATCACCTTCATGGAGGGAAGATTTGTCCTGGTTTCCAGTTTCAAGAGTTCAGTCCATGGTCTCTTGGTCTCTCCTTTGACCTGGGACAAACCCAAGCACCGTGGCAGAAAGCCTTAGTGAAGCAGAGCTGTTTGTTTTCTGGCAGAAAGAAAAAAAAAAAAGAAGGTGAGAAAGGAGGAGGGCTCAGGGACAAAATATACCCCTCAAAAGCACATACCTGGTGACCTACTACTAGACCCCATCCCCTAAGGTTTATACCACCTCCCAATGGTGCCATAGGCCATAAGCTTTGGGACATATTTCAGGTCCAAACTATAACGCAATACTTATTCTTGGCCTCAGTAATCTATGCCTATTCTTCACATTGGTTCAAATAAACCTGCACCTTATTTTGAAATGCCACAAGGTATTAAGATAGATTGTGGGGCTGTTAGAAGCGTGGATGCGTGAGTAGCTCTGTGATATGACAGTTACAGGAGACACCACCTGTAGGATCTAGGCATGGTGGCCATCTAGAATGGCTACCGTCACAAAGCAATAAATATCAGGAGGACACTTCCAAGACTGCTGGCGGGAATTCAGTTAGCACTGCCACTGCGGAAACCACTATGGAGCCACCTCAAAAACCCTCAAAGAGAGGTGGCACTTCATCGAGCTGTGCCACTCCTTGGTATATCCCTGAAGGAATCAAAATCAGCACTCTCTAGGGCTACCTGCTTATGCCCCATCGTTGTGGCCCAACTCACACTAGCAATAGCCAGGATCTAGAACCAGCATACTCGCCCATCAACAGATGCATGGTTAGAGAAAACGGCATGCTTATGTGGGACAGATAAAGGGCTATTCCGCCATACAGAACACAGTCATGCCACTTGTAGGCAGGTGGATAGGACTAAAGGTCAGCATGCTAAGCAAAGTGAGACACTCCAAAAGATAAGCATGACACATTCTGCTTAAGATGTGGAATCGGAGACTATTCGAGGGAAAGGGAATGGGAGGATGGATGTTATTGAAATGCACACATGCATAAAAATACCACATTAAAATCCAATCGTTTTGGGGCTGGCCAGATAGCTCAGTGGATTAAAGCTCCTGCTTAGGCAGAGTGCAGCGGCTGGGGTTCAATACCCAGCATGCCATGCCGCTGCCCTCCATGTCCGTGAGCTGACACAGTGACTGACACTGGGTATGGTGGTGCATGCTTGCAATCCCAGTGCTTGGGAGGCTGAAAACAGGAGGATCACTATGAGTCTGATCTCCATAGTGAGACCCTGTAGACCCTGTACTAAATACATAAAAAATAAATGAAATAAAATCCAACCGTCTGAACATTTAATAAGTGCTAATAAAAACAAGTATCTAGGCATGGGTTGTCCATACCAGGACCAACTTTTTCTGAGTGCTTGAGAGTTGTGCTAATAGGGCTGGCCAAATAGCTCAACAGATTAAAATGCCTGCAAGCAGGTGCAGGGGTCAGGGGTTCAGTCCCTGGGTCTGCTGTGCCAGCCCTGTCCCCAGGGCATGCTGAGATGGTGATTGAGACTGGGCATGGTAGTACATGCCTGTAATCCCAGCTCTTGGAAGGCTGTAAACAGGCGGATCACCAGAGTCCGATCTAGTAGTGAGACCCTGAACACCCTTCCCTAAAAATACAAAACAAACAAAAAAGACAGTTGTGCTAATGAATGTTGGGGTTCGGGTGGTGGCAGCTGCCCTCCTGGGGCTTTCAGTGTGGCAGGGAGAGGAGGTAGTGATGGGGATGGAAGAGGGGGTGCCCCGTGCTGGGCTTGGGGAGGGAAAGTGGGGTCTTCCTCAGAGAAGGTAGACAGCAAGGTCTGGAGGTCCACGGAACCACCTT